TCCTGTGGGAGTCGGTAGGGATGCCCATCTTCCCTGGCCGTAGACACCTTCCCTCACAGCACAAACTGAGGATCTCATTTCTTCTTGGGAGTTTCCTTCCACCGGCTCTCATTTTTTTCTTGGTATTTCCTTCACCTTGAGCTCTTTGTCTGTTACATCTGTGTCTTTTTTGCTGAGGTATTGCTGGTGCGGGCGCTACACCCCATAACTGGACAGTTTCTCTTTGTGTGTGTGGGGGGTGGGTTAGTGGTGGTGGTTTTGGACATCATGTGTATATTTACCCATATTAAATAGCAAGATTTAGAGGAGTGATTTATTCAGAGTCATTTCAACCCTTACTAGATTTTCTCCCTACTACTGTGTTTTTTTGTACTTGCTCACAACAAAATTTATCTATGCACAGTGTATCTGAGACTGGAAAAATTGTGGACGTGTTTGGAACAGCAGTGGGTGTTTTGGCAGAGAGCTGATAAGCAAGGAAGAGCACTTTCCAGAGTGGTAGGCCCTGAGATCAAAGCCCTCGCCAAATATTTTGATAGGAGGCAGCTGTGTTATAACAAAACCAACCCTAACCTACCCTGAGAGGACCTCAGCTGACTCCCGGTTCTGCTGTTCTCTAACTGTTGTGATCCTGATCAAGTGACTTACTTCTTTGAGTCTCAGTTTCCTCGCCTATCAAACAGAAATCATGATCTCTGACTCAGTAAGTTTGTTGTGGTGATGAAATAGGAATACCTGAAAGTACAAAACAAACGTTAGGAAGTATTATTGTACAATAATAATGGAAAGTAGTTAACCCCAGCCAACCCCCACTTACACACCCACTCTGTTGTACATTTAGGAATGTGATCTCGGGAGCAGGACTTGGGAATAGAAGAGAAAGGGGAAGAAGAGAGGCTGGTATAAGAATGGGTTACTGAGTTTCTTGGGGCAGTGGCTGGCTGAAACTTGATCCCACACAACCTAAAGAAGCTTTAAGTGAAATATGTCTCTGAATTGCTCTCCTTGGACAATTTGCCCAAAGGGTCCTGTCTCCATAAATCAGGTGTGGCCTGTGGGCACTGACATCTCATCGTCAGTGTTGCATGCATGAGCAACAAGAGGACAAACAGAAGCCCCAGGGGAGGAAGTGAAAGGTAGAAGGTGAACCATGAGGCAAGACCACCTCGGTCAGCTGACCCCTTTCAAACTGGCTCAAAATGGGGCTCTTGTCATACTGGCTGGGGTCAGAGGTGACAGCAGGAGGATCCAAAATGATGTACGAGATACAACCCCACCTACCAAAAATGGATACCAAGAAAAGTGACATCATGGTTTGGATTAGATATTTATAGCAGGTGTTTCATATTACTGTCTGTGTATAGAAAGACGGTAGACCTTAAACATTAGTTTTTAATTCTATTTTTCCAGACACCATGTTTCTGTAGAACTAAGGAATGTAATCCCCAAATGCCCCACCTGGCATTTTGTTCCAAATTGTAATTACAGACAGCATGACCTAACTGTAAGAGGCCTTGGGAAAAGTGTTTAATTTCTCTGGTGAAGCAGGGGTGAGGCAAGGAGATAATTGCTAATGCTACTGTTGCTATCTTGCTCATACATCTGTTTTCCCTGCCTGAGTTCTGGTGTTGTCTGGGTTTGGGAGTGGAGTTTGGGAGGTATGGGGCAGAGGCTCCTCAAATAACCTATTGAAAATATTGTTTATATAAGGAAGAATTGTTCTCATTTGCACATTAACTATTATTGATTGTTACAGTTGATCTTTTCCTCTTCTCTGACATGTTTCTATCATAAAAGTAATTTGAGTTGTCAAGTTAAATCAATAAACTTGGAGCACATACTTCTGCCAGGTCTTCTGTGATCTTCTAAGGATAAAAGACACACAAAGAGGAATGACAGGAGGAGTGAAGTTAGTTCTTGACTCCTGCTTACAACTAGCTCTACAACAGGAAGAAAAGTGTATGGCATCAATGCTTTACCAGATGGAACTGTACAGAAACAAAGTCTTGGCATCTTTCTTGGGTTAAGTCTTGCTTTAGAAGATCTCCTCCAAGATGAAAAATTACAGTCACTGTCCTGAATTTTCATTTAGTACTTTCATGATTGCTTTATATTTAATATACAGCCTTTTCAATCTATTCATTTTTTGTTTATAAGAAATGAAAATATAACTTTATTTTTTTCCAAATGGACTTCAAGTACCATTTGTTAAATATTCTATTCTTTCCCACTGTTTTTGAAATAGTACATTTATCTGGCTTTATTTTTTATATGTGATCTCTGGCCTGTATCATTAATGTATTGTCCATTCCAGCAGTAATCCCATATTATGTAACTATGGTAGCTTTGTAGTTTGCTTGATTGGTCAATATTACCTCTGTTCTTGTTTTTGTCATTTGTTTGGTTATTTTTTTATTTGGTACCCGGGATCGAACTCATGTATGCACATTTACAAGGCAGAAACTTATGCTGCTGAGCTAAATCCCCGGCTGTTTGGTTATTCTAATATGGTTACTTGCTGAATAATGTTTGTAATCATTTTACATTCCATTATAAAATTCCAGTTAGAGTTTTGGTCACGATTTACTTGTGTTTTCTGAATGAAATGTTATCGAGTTATTTATTCTGAGCAAGGTAAAGAGGACAAGAATGTAGGATGTAACAGTTGCTATGCAGTGAAGAAGAACTAGATTACCAGATTGTCTTGCAGATGAGAAGGCAACCAAGGATTCATAGTAGCATCAACCTGTCGTAGGACGATTTTTTTAATTTAGGCTCAGCTACTCAGGAGAAGAATTATTTGGTTGAGCTCATGCAGGGATTGCAATGTGGTACGTGTTTAACGGAGGAGAGAGGGTCAAAAAATTGAAAACACTTTTATCTTTTTCTCTTCCTTTTAATACAATGAGCATAAAAATAATCGTTTTTCCTTTACAGAATAAGATGTGTGAATAAATGAAGAGAGGTACAATTTTTTGTTGTTGTTGCTTTAAACACCTTTATAAAAAGAAGGCATTAACAATGAAGCAAGAAAGCAAAATAACAAGTGAGCTTTATATTGTGTAAATAGCATATCTTGTATTTGTGTTATCATGTTACACTTGAGATATTTTTCTTGTGACAGGAGAGCACTATCTGGTGTAAAGCTCTATTTTCTGAAAGTGTGTATATTTTTTCCCCTAACATTTTCTTTCTTTGGAAAGAAGCATTCTCAAATGTGTTCTCAGGGGAATCTGGAAATATTGGTACACATCCACTTGGCAGTTTGGGGATTTGTTAGAGTGTGGGAAAATTCAGAGATTATTTTCAGGTTATGACATTTAAATATTTCCTTGCAGGTCCTAAGAACAGTTTATTTTTAGAACTGCAAAAATATTATCTTGATTCTCATTTAGAGGGGAAATCACTACCATCTTAAATGAAATGTCATTTGAAATACAGTCTTAAGTTAGAAAACTGAAATTCAGATAAAACATAACAGTCTATTATTGTCTCAAATTGCCTGTTGGTTTGATGTTTTCTCTTAGTCTGGTAAGCAAAATGAAAGGACTTTTAAAGAAGATCATAAGGGTAAATGCACCGATAACATAAGCCAATTTCTTTACATTTTCCTTCCTGTGAACCTGAGATTCAGCAGGGTGTTTCTGCTCCACGTAGGGAAACAATTGTAAGGTTTTGGGGGCAGGTTCCCACATTCAGGATCCCATCATAGCTCAGCCTGACTATCTAATAGGTGTTCTAGTCTCGACCCTCACTGATCCAAAATGTGGTCAGGTGGGGAGACTGCTTTTCCAGAGCTGCCAGTAAACACACATTCAGACGCCCTCCTCATGTCTCTTCTGTTGATCAACCCTGAACTTTAAGGTAAGACAATGAAAAAAAATATGAATATCAACATATTATCGTACATACCACTAATTTGAACCTTCACATTTCAGAGTCTGACACCTTTTGACATTTAAACTCCCACTCTCTCCATTCAGTGATAAATCCAGTCAATTTTACCTAAAATATATCTCTACTATCTGTCCCTTCCTGATTGTGGGCACTGCTTGGCACTACTTGTTAGCACGTTCTTGGTTCGAAGATCCTTCATCTCTCACCTGGTCCCTTACGAAAGCTTGTTAAATAGTCGTCTCCATTTTTCAAGAAGTACATATATATCTGTTTATTCTTTTCTGCTTACTAGTTTTCTATGGCTCGTAGGTCCAAATCGTTGATCTGAACTCCAGTTTCGGTGCTCATCCTGCCTTGTCCTCTGCTACTCTCCCATTGGTATTTATGTTCCTACTAAGCAGAACTTCCCATGCTGTCCCACCTGTCCAGAGGTCATATGCAAATATTTAAAGAACAAAAACCAATCACTCAGAGCATGACCACTCAGAACTGCCACATTAAGGCCTTTTGCTGATGGCACTTTCAACAGCTCACTTCCAGAATCTTGACCTTGATTCTCTCTTCCTGGAGGACTTCTGCAGATCCTTTACATGGTTCATGGAGGACTGACCTTTGAGAGGGAACTGGAGGTGAGGGACACTGTCATTTGAAAAGGTTTATGCATTAACTAATATTTCCAGTACCTAAATAGAGACTGAAATATTTGTATAGTAGGCACCATTTGCAGAATCTGAAATGATCATTTATATATATTTTTAGAGGGTTTTTTTTGTACCTAGGATCAAATTCATGACCCCGCCCTTGCCAGGCAGGCACTATGCCACTGAGCTGTGTCCCCAAACCCAAGATATTCTTAAAAAACCCATTTCTTCTCTGGTTGCTCCAAAAATACTTTGGTTTGCTTCTATTTCTCAGAATTTAATCAGCAAGAGACATCCTCCTCTCACACAGGCCCATCAGCAGGTAAGTTTTTTTTAACGAGGTTCAAACTTTCTTTCCAACCTGCTTGAAAGCTTTATGTCCTGAGCTGACCTAGAAGTATGAAGAAAGATCCTCACATCTTTTTTAACAAGAAAGAAAACAATATGTGCTTTTCTTCAGTTCAAATCACAGTTCTGTGAACTAGACAACATAATCATATTTCCACATCAGCATCATTAAAGAAATGCTAACAAATCCATACTCAATGCAAAACACTAAACAAGCCTTAAAGAAAACTCTAAGGCAATAAAAAATATAATTGTTGCCTCCATGAGCTGATGGTGACGTGGAGGTAAGTTATGACTACACAAAGTAATAGCACTTATTAAACAATACATATTGCATTGCTATCAAATAATAAACACCATAGAAGTGCAAAAAAGGAAGTGAGCATGTCTTTCACCCAGGAATGTGAGGCTGAAGGAATTGGGTTTTGGTAGAGTTTCAGCCTTGGCCCAGCAAGAGACCCAACATAGGCAGTGAATATAGACAACACAGGGCAGGCTCAAACAGGGTCTTAAGATTGAGATGAGGCTAGAACATAATTGGGGTCATCCTGCAAAATGAAGTATGCTAGGAAGAGGCATTTGAGTTTTAGACGAGGAGTATATGCCTTAAATTTTGTTAAGTGGAAGCTTAACATAATTCAAGCAGCTTTTAAAAATATTAAGCAGTATGCCTGGGATAACAGGGAACAGCAGGACCTTAGGGGCCCAGAGCTGAATCTGAGTCTGACTCTGGTACTTTCCTGGCTGGGCAGGCTCAGACCATTTACTTAACCTCCAAGTTTTCATTTAATCAGCTGTTAACATAAGGCTACGAATACTGCATTCTTGGGTTGCTATGAGAAGACTTTTGATATTTATGAGCACTTACTATCTGCTTGTACTTCACTAAGAGTAGTATATATCTATTGTTTCATTTAACCCTTTATCTATGTTTTTAGAAACTACTTAAAATATATATGACATAAAATTAGCCATTTTAACCACTTTTAAGGGGATAGTTGATGACTGTTAACTACATTCACATTATTTTACTGCCAACCATCACCAGAGCTTTTTCTATCTTGGAAAACTGAAGCTCTGTTGTCCATTACACAATTACTCCCCTTCTCCCTACTCTCCAACCCCTGACAACTGCCATTTGACTTTCTATGTCTATGGCCAAATAGGTACTTTATTTAAGTACAGTCATCCTACCATGACTGTATTAGTTCCTTGCCATGTCTTCAAGGTTCAGTCATGTTTTAGCATGTGCTGGAATTTCCTTCTAGTTTAAAGTGGGATAATCTGTTGAATGTCTAACATCAGTGTTTGTTCTATCATGAGAAAATTGGACCTCTTTAAAGTTTAACTTGCCTAAAACAACACAATTTGAAAGAGAAAAATCTAGTCTTTGGGCCAAAGTAATCTTACCCACAGTCCATCCTCATTTCCCCTGTGCATCCTGCCGTACGGAGGTTGAGGGCTTATTGCTGCACCTGGCCCAGGGCAGCTATGTCAGGTAAGCACTGCTTTGTTTCTCATTATCTGGCACCACTTTCTCAGTTTATCCTGGTAGTGTAATTACTTTTTCTATTGTTGATGATGCTAGGAATTAAACCCAGAACCTTGAAAGTGCTAAGTATATGCTCGACCACTAAGCCAAACCTGCTTCCAATAATTCCTCTTTTATTGGAGGAACTGTTTTTGTGATTGTATCATTTTCCCATTCAGGGGTCACAAAGACAAGCATATTCCCTGGGCTTGGCCAAACAGAGCTTATTCCCTAACTCCAACAATGACTGGTTCAAAAACAGTCATGTGAATGCAATCCGAGTTCTCTCTGATCCTTTGAGGAGGTGGTGAGCCAGGAGTTGAAGGTGTCCATTTTAAAAGTTTAGTGAGTGACAGCAAGCGGGTGGTGAGGCCTGAACAACAGCTGAGCCCCTGTATCTAGTCATATCTGAAGCAAACTGCTCCCATCGATACCCAGAAACGTGAGTCAGTGCATGTATTCCTGGTTCTTTTTTTAAAAGAATAAAACAAAACAATAAAACAAGATAAGGGGCTGGGGATTTAGCTCAGCGGCATAAGCACCTGCCTTGCAAGCAGGCGGTCATGAGTTCGATCCCCGGTACCGATAAAAACGAAAAAGACAAAAAAATAAATAAATAAATAAATAAATAAAACAAGATAAAACAAAACAATAAGAATGGTATTGGACTTCAAAAATAAGGCAGTAGGAAATCCACAATAGTTACTACATTGCATATTTTTATCCTCTAAATAAATGCTCAGACTACTGGCTTTAGCTCTACAAAGTCAATCAAACAATATAAGCATTAAGTTCTTTCTTTATTTCAGTTGTTATCGTCTCAGCCTGTATTCCTCCAAATCGGCCAGTCTCTTGCATCAGAGTAGGAGATTTTCTCTCCCCGCGAGCACATGCCAGCTGACTCATGAGGAAGGTGCTGCTACGTGGTTCTCTCCTGGCTGGCTTGCTCACTGCTGGCACATGGGTGAATACTGCTTCCTGCTTCCAGTTTTTGTTTTTAAACTAATTGGAGTTCATGATCTATAACTTGTAAAAGAAAGAAATCTAATTTGCTGATTAGATTAAAATGTCCTTATGGTAATGAAAAAGAAAAAACTAGAAGTATTTTTAAATATTTTAAAATTGAGTAAAATTAATAAATAAAACAATACATATTTAAAGGATATAATAGCTTTTTTTTTTTTTTTAAACCGGGGATCAAACTCATAACCTTGCACTTGCCAGGCAGGCACTTATGCCAGTGAGCTAAGTCCTCTGGCTCAGCAGCATGTTTTGAGATAGATAAACATTGTAAAATGATCATTACAATTAGGCTGATTAACATATCTATCACTTCTCATACGCATAGCAACTCTAAATTTCCTTCACTTAGAAACATAATACTACAAGTCAGAAAATACTATTAAAAAGAAAACTGTTACACTCAAGGAATGACAGCCTTTGTAACAAACAATTCTGGGAAAATAGTTTATACACATGCAAAAGATTGAATCTAGGGGCTGGGGATTTAGTTCAGCAGCATAAGTGCCTGCCTTCCCACATATCTCAGTATGTATGAAACTAAAACCAAAATGAATCAAAGATCTAAATGTTAAAACACACAATCTAGTGGAAGATAAGATAGATCAAACTCTTGAAGACATAGGTGTAAACAAGGATTTTCTGAACAGAACTCCAGTCACACCAGAAGTAACGCCAAGAGTCAATAAATGGTGTCATATTAAATTAAGAAGTTTTTAAAAATTTTTTGTCTTTTTTTTTCGGTACCAGGGATGGTATCAGGGATCGAACTCATGACTGCCTGCTTGCAAGGCAGGCGCTTATGCTCCTGAGCTAAATCCCCAGCCCCAAATTAAGAAGTTTTTGCACAGCAAAGGAAACAACCAAAAGAGTGAAGAGACAACCTACAAATGGGAAAATAGTTTGGCCATCTATTCCTTAGGTAAAGAACTAATATCTAGAATATATAAACAATCCAAAAATATTAAACCTGCCCCAAAATAAAAGATCAAATAAAACACTGGGAAAGTGAATAAGTAGGCAATAAATATGCTGGTCGTTGGAAAACTGCAAATTAAAACAGCACTGAGATGCCATTTTACTCCAGAAAGAATGGTTGTCATCAAGAAATCAGGTAACTGCAAATGTTGGTAGCTTTGGGAGAAAGGAGCTCTTTTACTCTGTTCAACCACTACAGAACTCAGTATAGAAATTTCCCCCACTATAAATTCCATTTGATCCAGTTGTTCCCCTTTTAGGATCTTCATGAAAGCATTAAAGACGTCATATCATATCATATCATATCATAGTGATACATGTATACCCACATTTATAGCACCGCAATTCAAAATAGCTAAATCTTGGAAGCAGCCTATATGTCCACCAACATATGAATGGATAAAGAAAATATATTTATACCCAGTAGAGTACTACTCTGCCATAAAGAAGGAATAGACTTGAATCATTTGTAGCAAATTGGATGTGCTTTGAGACTATTACATTGATGAAACAAACCAGACACACAAGCTTAAATATTGCAGGTTTCTTTTGTATAAGAAACCCAAAGTATAAACAGCAAAATAAAAGATAGATAACAGAAAATAGGAAGATAGATCTTTTGCAAATGAAAAGGGGACCAAGAGATGGAAGGAGAAGAAAGGAAGGGGATAAAAAATAATTAACGTATATCATGTGCATGTGCCAACTCCTCATGAAGAATGTGATCATTATGTACTACAAACATGGGCTAATCAAAAAGTGAAAATTAGAAAAAAAAAGAATGCTTAGTATTTCACTCCCAGGGACAAATTAAAACAGGTGAACACCATTCTAAGTGATTTCTTGATATCTCTACAGATTAATGCATTTTTTAACATAAACCATCAACAGTGCCATCTGTACCATTTAAAATCAGCTATTTCACTTAATGGAATATAATGGAGATGTTATATCAGTAAATGCATGGCAACTTCACGGTCTTAGCATATCATTAATAAATTTTTTCTGTTCTCCTGGTACCCTCCCTTACATGCCCTCCTCCCTCTCCCTTATTTTCTTCTTATTTAATAATATTCCTTTTGCTTTCATGTCATCCTTTTTAGGGTCTATTTGTTAGGGAAATCATGAAATATTTTTCTAAGTCTGGCTAATTTCATGTAACTTGTTGCTCTCCAGTTGCATCCATTCTTCTGCAAATGAAATAATTTTATTCTTCTTTATATATACATATGTATACAGTCACATCTATATGAATATATATATATCCGTCACTTTTTCTCTATTCATTCATTTCTTTTTTTTTTTTTTTTTTTTTTTTTTTGTCTTTTTTCTTTTTATCGGTACCAGGGATCGAACTCAGACTGCCTGCTTTCAACGCAGGCGCTTATGCCGCTGAGCTAAACCCCCAGCCTCTATTCATTCATTTCTAACCAGAAATACTGTGAAACTGTGATGTGAGGAAGAAGGAAACATCAAGAATCCTTCTAAGACTTGGATACCTGGCCACTAACAATAATGGTATTGCTGAAAAGGTAGAAGAAGTTGTTACTTGTGTGAATCAGAGAGTGTTCTCACTCCTAGAACCACAATGCCAGCTTCTGGAAGTAAAATGTATGGTGTGACTTATGACATGTTCCAGAATCTCAAACTCATGAACGTGTCCACGGTTTGTTTGGGATAAGGCTTTGACTCTGACCTTTATCCCCCAACTTCACTCAGTAGCCTAGTCTGAACCCTCCTTCCCAATGTAATTTATTCATTAGTTTGCTCATGAGCACTTACTGTATGTGCCAGGTACTGAGGACTCAGTGATAAAATAAATATGGTTACTTATCATCAGGGAATCTGTAATGAAGTGGAGAAAATAGATAAGGAATTATCGCACAAGTGAATTCATAAGACAAGGGCCAGGCATTTGGGTGCAGCCTAGGAGCCTGAAGCAAGAGGATCACAAGTCCAAGTCCAGCCTGGGGAATTTAGCAATTTAGCGAGACTTTGTGTCAACATTAACAATAACAAAGGTCTGGGAAAGCAGCTCAGTGCAAAGGCCCTGGGTTCAACCCCACCGCCAGGCCACCCTACCCCACCCCCAAAAAAGGAGGAAACATAAGAGGTGTCTTGAGGGGATGTCTTGAAAAGTGCCTAAGGGGTTTCACAAAAGGCATCTTGAGGTCTAACTTAAACCAGGAGACTGGGAGGGCCGAGAGTGGCCTCTGTGAGGAAGTAGCACTGAAGCTAAAGCCAGGCCAAGTGAGAAGTCTGCCCTGAAATGACACGGCAAGGTGGAAACCAGAGGACTCGGTCTCACTCACCCACAAGAAACAAGTGACTCATCCGTCAGGAATGTGAGACCAGGAGGCTTCAAACTGGTTTCTTTGAAGTGGAGCTGTGCTCAGCCCTTAGGACAGAAACTGGCAAATAGCCTAGGCAGCACAGGGACCCCACAGCCTGTTCCCAGTCACTTCCCAGTGGCTCTGCCCATTTATTCATTCAAGAAGCATTTATGGAGTACCTGCGGGTGGGGACACGTGCTGAATGGTGAGCATGTGAGAGGGGAAGACTGTCAGAGCCCACTCCAGGCAGGAGGGCAGAAGGATAGGTGCCCCCTCCTCGGATGGCTCCAGGGTGCACCTTGGTCTTTCTCCTAAGGAAGCTAATAGACCAAGCATAAGCATATGTGTATGTTTAGTAACTGTTCTTAGGCCCTCACCCCTCGCATACTTATATACTTTATTTTATTTATTTATTTATTTAAAACTCAGAAAACTAAATCTCAGAGCAGAGGCAAAGGTCCTTTACTTGTTTAAAGCTGGACAACATGATAGACCAGCACTAAGTAGAGCGTGGCTGACCAGTCCCTCCAGATAAACATAAGGAAAGGTCATCCAAACACAGGAAGACAACCATCCCCTTCCCTTTCCCTTTACCCCCTCCCCTTCCTCCTCCTGGATCCCTTATCCCCAGAGGGTGGACCCGGCCTTTCACAAAGTTTATTCTGAGGACGCAGCTCCCACAGTGGAACGTGCTGCAGACATGGGAATACAACAGCCTGGCCAACAGGGAAAACCGAAAATATAAACTGAGATACGTAATAGATTTCTACCCTCTCCCCCGCCGTAGCAGAAATGTCTGCAGGTGCTGTCTTTACTGTCTGGATCTATGTCAGCCCTTCCTGGGAAGAAAACTTCTGAAGTTTATTACATTTGTCAGCAAATACTTTAAACAGAAGAAAATTAAATTGTTTTCTTGGAATCTCAGTACTATTTACTTGATTCATTAAACAAATGCAATAAATGTTAGGAAACAAAGTCCAGAAAGCCTTGCATTGCAGACACTAGCAACAAGTTTAATAAGAGTACAAATACCACTAAAACTGCAGGAAAAAACAAGCTAAATTTTCTTCATATTCACCAGTAGAATTTTATAAATAAGCAGGAACCCTAGAGCCCATAAATAGGAAATCATTTTATCTTTTACTGGCAAATTTTGATCATAACAATAATGAGGATATAAACTTTGTTTTCACCACTTTGAATTTTTTGTATTCCTTTTAGGAGAAAAAAAGATTAATACTGCAGGATTGTGTGCCTCAGTGAGCATTCACCAGCATTTGTGATGAGATGTTCTGTACTAACTTCAAAACAGACCTAGTAATTGAAAGCAAAGCATAATGGTGACCTTTCTCATTAGCTGTTGCTCAAACAAAGATATGTTCCAGCAATATCCGATGCTTCCTTCCTGCCGGGGCCTCCACCCAGTGCAATTTAAAACACTTGTGTCACATCCAAACCAGGGCCCAGCTGTGGTGTGGCTGAGTTTCAGTAACATTGCGTTTATGGTTTATTATTACTTTCCAAGGTTTTAAATGATTTATTTGTTTTGTTTTCATGAATGTATTACAAGTTGGGTTTTCAGGGTTAACCATATGAAATCATACATTAACTCTTTATGTGCATATTTAGCCTTTCATTTCTCCAGGTTTTTGTTTTCATAAGAAATAGCATCACAAGTTCTTAACTGTAAGTGCAGAGATATATCTTGTGTTGCTCTTTGGTAAGTGTTTTTATCAATTCTTTGTAGGCAAAAACAAACAAACAAAAATAGAAACATTTTTTAAATATCACATTAAGTTTCTTTCCTTGTGTAAGATGCCAAAGCACAGATAAATAC